TAATGACTCTTGGGAAATCTAAATAATTATTAAATTTAGAATATATAAATTTAATGTACTCTTCTGATTTAACTATGTATGCAACATAATTGTGAAAAAGACATACCAGTTATTAAATATCTTTTATGAATAAATATAGGATAATTAAGTGTAACATACTCAGAGAATCATTGGCGTACGCAGCGGGGGGGGGGCAGGGAGACAAATCCCCCCCCCCCCTCCCCAAAGCCAAAAAATGCAGATGGTGGATATATTTTTCAAAAATATTATTGTTTATATTAATTTATATTTGTTAATATTTATTCTTATCTCATATTAAATATATATTATATTACATTTATTATCACATTCATAAGTTATTTTATCAATTAATTTTGATTTCAAGTTTTCCGGCGTAATATTTACTTATTATTTTCAAATTTTTAGTGGCGTTATATTTATCTACCATTTTCAAATTTCTAGTCAAATAATAATTATTTCTGAAACTTCTGGTCCAACAGGGAAAAAGAAATTGCAACCTTGTCCAACGAGATAGAGCCTCTTCCATCAAGCACTAACAGCTATTAAGGAGTTAGAAGAGCCAATTATTTGCTATTACTGAAATATTACAATGGCCTGAAAGAAATATTTCCTCAGAAGCAAGAAAATTATTGGATTCAATGCTTATTTCAAATTTTATTTCTCATTAGAATGTATTATTTAATTATACAACTATTTTAAGTATTACTTTTCAAAAACATGACAATGATTTGATTAAGAAGATGAGAATAGCGGAGAGCATTTTATCAGAACTCAAGGAAATTAGGGCTAATGTTGATGAAGAATTTCATATTTTATATTATTGTTGAGTCAAAAGCAGAGCTATACGTGTTTAATATTTGTCTCCCTCGACAGCAAGGCAAGCTCATCGTTAAAACATTAATATAAGATCAGTAGAAGAGTTTATCTTAGATGCAGATACATTTATAACCCAAATAAATGAATTTTTAATATATCATGCAGCACTTACATCTGCAAATATTACTTCCATAAAAGCCTTCCCAACCTTTTTCAGATGGTGATAGAAAAAAAAAATTTGTTAGATTTTTATTATGAAGATGTTAAAGTATCTTATGATGCCTTACTAGCTGGATACTATGTTTATAAGATTAACTATGGTTGGTATAGTCCCAAAAAATGCTATGGATGCTCTGCATTATTTCAAACACATTTTAGATTAAATTCCCAATGTATTAAAAGGGTTTATAAACTCTTCCCATTAGTAAACTAATGAGATAACATTCTCTTTTTTAAGAAGAATAACAGAGGCCTGCAGAAGTACCATTTGCAGGGCACGGCCCGGATTTTTTTACGCTATTTTTAAAATTTTTTTTAGGCCGCTCGGCTTTTTTTTAAAATTTACAGGCTCGACCCGGCTTTTTTTTAAATAAAATTTTCAGGCCCGGCCTGGATTTTTTAAAAATAAATTATATTTATTTTTGATTTTTATAGCTAATAATAATGATTTCAAATATAGGCTGTTTTAAAAAATACAGCCCGGCTTGGGTGTTTTTTTAAAAAAAATTAGGTCCGGCCCGGGTGTTTTTTAAAAAATTTGGGTCCGGCCTTGGTATAATTAAAAAATATAAAATATTGTCCGGCCCAGGAGCCGGGCCTGCAGGTCTCTGAAAAACATACCAAGAAGTGCAACATGTGAAAGTAGATTGAAAGGTTTGGAATTTTTGAATATTCATAGGCATTTGACGACAAGCAAGGATGAGATAATTGAAAAATTAGCTCAATTCCAACGAAGATTGGATTTTACATTGTAAATATATAACATACAAAATACAATTATTCCTAAGAAACTTTTTGTGTAAAGGCTCAAAAAATTCAAATTTCTATTTTGGGTCATTTAAGTGATTCTTTACATATAATTTTTTTATAATTCACATTAATTTAAAATTGTGTATTAGGAATAGTTATTAGTCCTAATAAATTTATCCTTGATATTTTTAAAAAACAATAATATTTCTCAAAAAAATTTATTATCCCCCCCCCCTAGACCAAATTCCTGTGTACGCGCCTGCAGAGAATAATTGCCATATTTGAGATATTTTTCCTTCTTCTTTTATGTTTTGTCAATAAATATAATGCTAACATCTTTTCCCGATCCATACTAATAAAATCCATTTATTTACAAAATTATAAATAATTTAAAAACGTCTCAATTTAAACAAAGCAAGTGTTATGTTTGTACGCACTATAATGCGTTATTTTCAGAGTTGGGTAGGTTCTCCAGAAAAAAAATCTAGATACAGATACAGATTCTTTATAAAAAAATGAATCTTAGATACAGATACTAGTATCTTTTTCAAAATATCAAAAAGATACAAGATAAAAGATACTTGTATCTTTTACTAAATTAGAGTATCTTAAATACAAGATACTTTTAAATTATCATTACCAATTAAATTAGAATAGTTTATAAAATATAATTTTTATTATTTATTTGTGAAGAACATAGCATACACATATAAGAATGAATATTTCCAATAATTAATAAAATATTTTTTAATGAATTAATTATAATAACCAGGGATTTTAATATTAGTTTTTGCCCATTAATAGCTTAAACAGGGAAGGAAGAATAGTATATTTAAGGGGAGTTGAAAATTTGCAAATAAGAAAAAAAAATTAAATCAAATGATTTATTAGAATTTGCAGGTTATTTTCTGTGTTGTTTTAAATATAGCTTATATTCGGAGTATATGGCTAATTGGCATCTCTAAAAAAAATATACTAGTTTTATTTATTTATTATCTTTAATAAGTATTTATCATTACTTGTTTGTGATATTTATATATTTTTTAAATTAGTTTATTTTCTAATATGACTTATTAATTCTTGCGTTTTTAATATCATATATATAAATATCATTTAAATTTCTTTTCAAATTTTTTTTATATATTTCTTGTAAATCATTAATTATATATAAAAAATATGAAAATAATGTACAACATTATATTATAATTATAAAATACATAACAATTTCCTTTAATGCATTTCAAATTGATTAAATTTTGTAAATAAATACTGTAATGTAATTTTACTTATATCATAAATAAATAAAAGTAACTAATAAAGTTAAATTCTATCTTATTATAATTATTTTATTAAGAGCTTTTAAAATTATCTAATGTTATATATCAATTGTAAATATTTCCTCTAATAAGAACTTGCTAAAATAATTATATATAAAATATATTAGGGATGTGCCGAAATTTTTTATCGGATCGGGCCGATTTCACCCATTTTAAAATATAGGTTATCGGCCAATATTATAAAATTTGATATGATATAAAATAGCTTCTTTAACAAAAATAAAATGTTACAAAATTTTAGAGTTGTTAAAGGATACTTAAATGGATCTAGATACAGATACAGCTTCTAAAAAGTTATCTAGATACAGATACATTTTTTATTATACTCTTAGATAAAGTTTGAATAAACCTAAATTAGGATTCTATTGTGAAAATTCATGAAATGATCTAAAACATTTATTGACTCGATATCATATTTATCAAAATATAACTAAAATAATGATTTTTAGATAGTAATATAATATATGATTAATATAAATAATTATTATATATGATTAATAAAATAATATAATATATGATTAAATGATTATAAATAATTATTAGATTTCAGTAATAAAATAATTTCAAAATTTTGTTCATTAAAACATCCTCGTTTATCTGTAAAGACATTTTTAGCTATACTAAAATTTTTTTCAACAGGGGCGCTGGAAGGGATTATGGTGTTATATTTAATGAATAACATTTTTATATCAGGATATTGTTTAAAAATACTAAAATCTCGGCATTCATTTTAAAAAAAACTATTTAAAATTTGTTGATTATCAGAATTTAAATCATTAACAATCATATCTCCTGCTGTGGGATACTGAAAAATATCGGATATTAAATTATTGGTTTTTTTTTCACAGGTTAATTTGCACTCATTTGAAGACTTTGATAATTCCTCAACTAATCTTTGTATTAATTGTTTTTTTTTAAAAATTTTCATCCATTTGCAATCATGTCCAATCTAGTTTAAAAAAAGGATGAAGCATAGTTGCCAAAATATTTTCATCTTCAAAAATTATCCCAATAAACCTAGAATTATTAAATGCTGATTAATTTATTATTAATTTACCTATCTTCAATTCCTTTAAGTAAGGCATTTAAGAGTGGTAAACAAAATTTCAGGTTCATTTGTTTAAAATTTTTTAATTTAATAATGAGCTGGGAAATAGTTGCACAGTAATAAGCTGTGAACATATATTTACCTCCCTGCAGGATATAAAGTGAACTTGCTACCGGCTTCATTAGCTAATTTAAAATAATATTGTATATATAAATATAAATTTTATTTACTTACTAAACAATATTGATGAATAAAATCACATTCATTAGATAAAAATCGAGGTAGTTTTATTCCATCGCAAATCTTGTCTTAATAATTTCTGAGATTAATTGTAAAGCATTATAAGTGGAGTTCCATCTATATATTGGGACATATGAAATATCGGCCAATATTGTTTTTTATAATCTCAGCTGAATTTTGAGATTTATTTTGTCTCCATATATTTTGGCATTTAGACAATGTTGTGCTATATATCTAGAATAAAATATTAAAATTATAGTTTTACCCTCTGATATTGTTTACACTGCAAGGCTCTATTTGCATCTGTAGTGGCAACAAGATTCAATGTGTGACTGGCACAACATTGATGATTAGGTAAAATATATGATTCTGATATTTCAAAATCCTGAGCAGTGGTATAAAGACCTGATATTGATATTGGTGCAAATTTTCTTCATCTTCCAGATCATCAATGGATTCACTAATATTTTCAATTGGCTTGAAAACTCTATCATAAATAAGTAATATTATGTTTATATTTATAATAAAATAAACCTAAATAACTTGATAAAGTTTTTGGCATTATCAGTAATGGTCTTTGAGATTTTATTTTGTATGCAATAATCCTTTGCTATATCTTGTAAATTTTTTGCTATTTTATCATATGTATGACTACCAATATTTCTTTTACAAGCCAATGCTACATTTTTTCTTTCCAAACTTGTTGGATCTATATAATGTGCTGTGACTCCTATATATGAACAAAAAATTAACATTTCTTAAAACTGCTCAAATAATTTGTTTGTAATTAAATTATTATACAAATTAAATGTTAGCTATACCGGCGATAGGCACTCCAATAATCTGCTGTTGTGCATATTAACGATGGTTCTATTAGACTTTTAATGATTTCTTTCTTTTCATTCTCCCATCTTTGGGAAATTCTAGCAACAACTGTCTGTCTGCAAATTATATTTTTTTGTGGAGCTAATGTTCGGATAATTTTTATAAATGATGGATTTTCAACAACTGAAAATGGCTGTATGCTGTCAATAATAAAATCGGTTATTAAATCATCTAATATGGCTTGGGTTAAAATCTTAGGTCTCTTGGAAAATAAATCAATGGACGAAGAGCCTTAGATATTTTCTCCTTCCCCTTTTTTATTTGGATTAGGAGTGTTGGATCTTAAAATTTAAAATTGTAAACATATATTTAGTATCTATACCCTTAAATGCTTTACAATGTTACAAGTTGAGCTAATGCTAACAGAAATTTGTATATTTTTTGGTAAACATGGTAAACATTTTAATAACAGAGATTTGTTTTCTTTATTATGAGATGTTATTTTAAAATATGGTCTATAAATTAGCCATGGAATGTCGTCATTTTCGTCCTCAATGTTACTCTGAAAAATTAATATAATAAAATAAAATACCAATTCCATTGCTATTAAAAATGCCAAATTCCTTGAGATGGATTGTAATATAATATCAGAATTTGCTTGTTATTGATAACTCGGACATAATATTTAATTAATATTTATATATTCTTTCTTATATACAAGTTTTAATATTTTACATATATATATAATTTTTTAATATATATATATTAATATTAAGTTATATGCTTCTATGAAATAAAATAAATTTTACATTCAAGTATATTTATTTATAATATAAAAAAGCGTTAAATAAAAGTATATCAAAATGTATCTTAAAAAGTATCTAAAAACAGATACAGATACCTCTAAAATAATATCTAGATACAGATACTTTAATAAAAAATCTATCTAGATACAGATACTATATTTTTATATCTAGATACTTTAATAACTCTGTAAAATTTTAAAAAAAAGTTATATCTAAGAATTATTTTAATAAATAAAATCGAAATCCATTTTTATGTATATTGTTTTAATAATAATAATTAATTAATAAACATTCTGCCATATTGTTATTTTTTTGCGCATTCTGTTTATAAAAGTGTACGATATTCTCTTCAGAATCTGTTTTTAGTGAAGCTGGTGATATTGACAGTTACTATCGTCGCAAGCTGACCTCTGATAAATTGCAAATATTGGTATTTCTAAAAAGAAGCCTTCGATATATTAATGTTAAATACATAATATAAATGTTTTTGATTAATGCTATTACTTATTATTAGGGATGTACCGATATTTTATATCGGATCGGGCCAATATTTCGCCCATCTTAAAATATCGGTTATCGGCAAATATTATAAAATTTTCCGATCCGATATAAAATGGCGCTTTTAACAAAATTTAAAAAAGGTTATATCTAAAAAACCATTTATTTTTTATAAATAAAATCGAAATATATTTTTATGTTTAATTTTTTTAATAGTAATAATTAGTTAATAAACATTCTGCAATATATTAATTTTTTTCGCATTCTGTTTAAAAAAGTGTTCATTAATCTCTTCAGAATCTGTTTTTAGTGATGCTAGTGATATTAACAGTCCCCATCACCGCAGACCGATCTCTGATAAATTGGAAATTTTGGTATTTCTAAAAAGAAATCTTTGATATATTAATTTCAAATTTCATAATATATTTGTTTATTACTAATTATGTAAATAGATTAATGTTATTACTTATTATATAAATAATAGCAATTGAATTGAATATAAACTATAACTGATCATTATAATATATTTAAATGACATATGTTATGGTATAGTAAAATTATAGATGTTCTACTAATAAAAAGTATATTAAAAATTAAAACCGGTATCTTTACAGAATACAAAATTAGATATGATATCGGATCGGTTATCGGCCGATATCAATTTAATATCTGAAATATCGGATTGGATCGGATCGGCCTCCAAAAAGTGATATCGGTACACCCCTAAAAAATATATATCCAAAATGATTTTAATTTGATAATCAACCATCTTCTATAAAAAAATTTAATAACAATTATCTAAGAGGGACTTAAGTGTAGGTATTATTATGTTAATAATTATAAAATAAAAATAACAAAGTTTGTAGAGGAGTTTGTTGAACCTTTAATAACTTTTTTACTTGTGCAATTTTGACATACAGCTTGTACCTTTTTCTTTTTCACGTGAATTACTTTATAAAATTTTCCATCTAGAATTTTAAGATTGGGATTTGATTCAGGAGAACCTATCTCCATAATTTCATCTTAACTACTATGATTGATGAACATTCTACAAATTAAAAAATATTACATATAAAATATATCTTTCTCTTATTTAGTTTTGATGTTGTTATTTTTAATCTATCTATCTTTGTGACCTGTAAAATTCCAACTAATTTTGGTTATCAATATATTTAAAATATAGCGGGAAAAAATAAAGAAAATTGTAGTGATCAGTATAAGACAATTAACTTTTTATTTCCAATCATTTTATTTTTCTTTCTTTATTTAATTATCTTTTTTTAAAATCGCGGAAAAACATGAAAAAAACTATATAATAATTCAAACTATAATATCAAAATCTATAATATCAAAATCGCGAGCGAAAATATATAAAAAAAATCATCTCAAAAATCATTAATATGCTTTCTTTTCTTTCTTTTAACATACAAACATACAAAAAAAATCGATATATATTTCTTCGATTACAACATGTACCCCTTTCTAAGGATAAACTCCAAGGTACATGCTAAAAAAACTAAAATTTATCTATTATATACCAAAAAGAAAATATTTTACAACACTTTAACAAAAAAAATCATGGCGCCGCGTTAATGATTAAATCCTCTAAGGAGTCACTCATTTCTACCTCAGCTCCATTAACATTTTTTTAACCTCAAATTTCGAATTTTCTCCTCCATTTTGAATTTCTTTCCTTCCCAAATCTTGCATTGTCCCACATGTCATTCTTTCAATCTCTGCTGCCCGGTGGAATTTGAATAGCACACATCTTTCAGCGAATTCTTCCGCTTCCCTCGCTAATAACCTGCTTCGTCGAACACTCTCCGAGGCTGGCCCCCAGCCCAACGATTGACCCCTTGGTTGAACGTATACGAATTACTCGCTCCACTCGCACACTCTCGGGCCTTGTGTCCTCTTCCCCCACAATTGAAGCAATTTAAGTTGAGCCCCCTCATTCCTACTTGTCTTGATTGGATAGCTGCCGGACCTGTCGTAAAATTCGCTTGTAAAGGGGCTCTACCCTGCGAAGACGTAGGACCATTCGAGGTTGTCGGCGGAGCTCCTTCTCCAGTTTGTTACTCGATCCATGCATTGTGCCATTTATCGGCGAGTGGATTGGACATATCCAACGAATTAATTTGCAGCATTGTCCTATTTGTTTTGATGTAGTACGTTTCCATAGATTCCAGAATATACTTTTTTTTCGAATTTTTTTTTTTACCTCTTGTTTTTAACACAAAAAAAAATTTACAACACAATTTACATACAATGGATACTACACACTAATTTCTTTCTTTTTTTTTTCACTCAAATATCAATATAATACATATCATACTTGAGAATAACACAATTTTTTTTTTTTTACCATCAGAACATTTTACATATAACACATACTCAACTAGAACATAACACAATTTTCCCTTTTTTTAACAATCAAACATTTTACATATAACTTTACCAAATAGTTTACATACTACCCTACCAGTTGTTTTCTTTCTTTCCCTTTTAACCTCATTCCCCTCGTAAAAAAAAATTTCTATTTTACACACCACCTAAATCGTATTTAAACTTTTACAATTTCTTATTTTACCAATTTTTTCTAATTAATTATCTTTTTTTTTACTTTTTAACCATCACAAATTTCTATTTAAATTTTTACAATTCCTTATTTTACCAACTTCTATGATTAATTATCTCTTTTTGCTACCCTCAATTTTTATTTTTTTTTTACAAATTTATTGAATTCTTTATTCAATCAATAATTTCAAAAACATAACGTGTTTAATACACATAGCTAATTCTTTAGCGATCCTATGGGCAACTCCAAACATTTAATTTTTCTTCTGATTTTATTTCTTTTCTACAAACTCTCTATTTATATATACTTTTACATTCACGGTCCACAAATTAAGATTGGCTGCCCTACAAGAGTCCCAATTCTCCAAAAAAATTTTTTGTTTTTGTCTCCAAAAAAAATTTTTTTTTTTAAACTTTTATTCAATTTTTTCTACTTGATATATAAATTTCACACAAAAGCAAACATTTATATATATATATATATATATACGGCTATTCCTTTATACCCTTGCTCTTAAATGATTTCTATGTCTCGTGACCTCACTATGGTCTTCCAACCTAACTTTGAGTACTTTATTTCTCACAATCTCTATAACTATTCCTTTTCCCCATTTTTTATTTATTCCATACATCCGAACCCATACTAATTGATCAACCACAAATTTCAAAACAACATTATCTCCCATTTCTACATCCGTATCTACCGGTCTCAAACTATCCAAAAAGAAATTAATTTTTCTTCCCATCTTTTTCTCTGCTGGGAATTTGCCATCCTTTCCAATTGCACTATTGTAATATAACTGCGTTATCCACAATTCTCCTTTACTTTCTTTATTCTTTTTTAACCAATTTTTCACTATCGCTACCATCCGTTCAGCCTGCCCATTTGAACTAGGATGGTACGGTGGTGATATTATATGTCTCACATTCATCTTTACACAAAAATTTTTAAACAACACACTTATAAAGACCGGTCCTCCATCGGACACCATAATACTTGGAATACCAAATCTCGAAAACAATTTTTTGCAATGTCTTATTACTATTCCCGCTGTTAATCCATGTACTTCTTCAAACTCAATCCATTTTGAAAATGCATCTACGCTCAAAATAAACTTTTTTTCTTCCCATTCATAAAAATCCAAATGCAATCTTATCCAGGGTCCTTTAACTTTTGGCCAATTACTACCCTTTTCCTTCCGGGGCATATCGGACCAGGCATTGCAAATTTCACAACTTTTACCCAAATCATTAATTTCTTCATTCATCCCGGGCCACCATACATATTCTCTTCCCCATTGCTTCATTTTTTCTATTCCTTGATGCCCCCCATGTAACATATTCAAAACCCCTTCCCTTAATCGTCGTGGGACTATAACTCTATTTCCCCCTTTTTCTTTTTCACATGAATTACTTTATAAAATTTTCCATTTAGAATTTTAAGATTGGGATTTGATTCAGGAGAACCTATCTCCATAATTTCATCTTAACTACTATGATTGATAAACATTCTACAAATTAAAAAATATTACATATAAAATATATCTTTCTCTTATTTAGTTTTGGTGTTGTTATTTTTAATCTATCTATCTTTGTGACCTGTAAAATTCCAACTAATTTTGTATATCAATATATTTAAAATATAGCGGGAAAAAATAAAGAAAATAATACAAGATTTCATGAAGAAAATAAAGTTACATTGTGTGATATGTGAATGTTTTAACCATGAATATTAAAAAGAATCTGTATCTGTATCTTTTTAAAAAAAATGAAAAAGATACAAGATTTTTTTCAAAATAAAGGATCTTAGATACAGTACTAGTATCTTATTAAAAATGTCAATAAGATACTGAGTACAAGATACAAAAGGATCTTGTATCTTAGATACAAGTATTCGCGGTACTGCCAACTCTGGTTATTTTATGGTTAAAAATTATGCCAATTCGACCCAACCTAGCAATTTAACAATACTACTCGTTCCTTTTTAAAGCAACGCATGATATTTTTTTCCCCTTTTAATGGCGACATTTTCATTTGTTAATATACAACACTAGTTTAAAATAGTGGGGTTTGGTATTCCAAATCATTATAATATACGATTAAGTTTTTTCTAGCACTCCTAAACAAAAGGGAAATCAATCAGCAAATTCAAATTAGAAAAAAAATGAAATCAATATGCATGAAAGGAAATACAAATTAATAAAAATATTAGGAAATCAAAATTAATTATTTTATCCCCCCCCTACCTTTATTCTAATGACGATGCTTCTTCCTACCCTTATCAATTTCTGTATCTTGCATCATACTCCCCCCCCCCCTTCCCCTTATCCGTCTTAGATCTACCTAAGTATTTCAATGATCATAAAACGTTATGGAAAATATAAATATTTTTTTGCTATCTTATAATAGGGCATTATCATTTAAAAATAAAATTTTTTTATTATTAAAATACATTTTCCTTATTTTTTACACATTGATTATCATTAGGCAGGGTATAAAACAAATGAGCAAAGATCTTATCGAAGCAGCCATTGAAGGCAATGTTGATATGCAAGTTAAAGACCGGAAGTTTTAATTTTTTATATTTTTAAAGTTTAATTCTTTATTTAAAAATATTCAACCAATCTAAGAAATATAATATATGACGATTATATAAGATTAAGGTATATATTTAATGGACCTTGCTTGGGAATTTTTTCAATATTAAATAATAGGCATAGATGATCAGTATAATAAATAATATTGATATGGGTGGGGGGGGGGGTAAGTTGCAACCAGTGAAGACAGATTACGATCCAAATTAATTTTTCCCAAATTCAAAAGACAGGAAGGACGAATCATGTTCTATTATATTTAAATAATATTTATTTTATTATTTAAATTCAAACATTATTCATCTCAGCATCTTTTAACGGATGATTAACACAGTGCTGAGAGATCGGATAAAAATTTTAAAATACTATTAAAAAATATAAAAAACTGTTTAAAATAAAATTACCGATATATTTATAAAATAATCAAGGTATGACTAAATATTGAAGCTAAAAATTAATCATAATCAATCAAAATTTTATTATATTATCTTTTTCAAAAATAATTTTCAGAAACATTTTTTAATAGACAAAAATCAAATAATTTATTTTTACTTAATATTAGTGTAAAAAAATATATTCACTAGCTTATTACAACTCTAATTTTATTTTTCAATTTTAAGATTTAACAGATATATATTATATATATATCCATAAGAGGGCATTAAATCATAAATATTAAGCTGTAAATTCTAATAAATTAGTCATTTTAGTCTAATTTTTCCACTATAACTATTAGTTAGTCGATTAACATCACTAACGCCAACAATGCAGTCTTTCGGTTTCAAACTGTTATCGGTCAAATCACGATATTTTTAAAATATTTTTTGGGATAATATTTTACACGTAGTTATAGATATATAAAACAAATATTTTTCAATTGATATTACTAGAAAATTATTCAATCGAATATTTAGTAAGTGGTCGGTTTTGAGCGACATTCGGTCAAATCATAATATTTTCAAAATATTTTTTAGGATAATGCTTAACATCTAATTGTACACGTAAAAACCAATAAAGAATATTATTCGATAACGCCAGCAATGCAGTATTTAGTTGGGCCTCAAATCGATTTTCTGTCAAATCACAATATTTTTTTAATTTGCTAATGTTTTACACGTACTTATATAGAATATAAAGTAAAAATGAACATTTTCAATTGATATGACTAGCAAATTTAGTCAATTGAATATTTAGTAAGTGGTCGGTTTTAAGCTCGGCAATCTGGCAAATGAATATTTTTGGAATAATGCTTAACACGTAAACGTAAGCATATAAACGAAAGAAGAGATTTTGATCAATAACGCCAGCAATATGTGCCTTACAAGTTTTCTATTATTTTTCGATTCTAAACCTACTCATAAATTAAATGTCAAAGAAACCAATCTTTTTTTTTTAAATTTTAGGTTTTCCACATGTATTTACACCCAAATAAAGTAAAAAGCGCTAACCAATAATCATTCTGGTTTCCTAAGATGAGTTTTCATATTTATGCATTTAACGCCCTCTTATGGATATAATTTGTTAAATTTTAAAAATGGAAAATAAAATTTGCTTTGTAATAAGCTAGTAAATATTTTTTATTTCTATTAATATATACAATTATAAATTATTTGATATTTAATCTCAATTTTTTTTATTTTTCAAAAACGATTATATATATAACATATATTTATAAAATAATCATAGAATTTTTTTTTTTGAAATTTTTTTTCAATGCATTAATTTTTTATATGTTGTCATAACAAATAATTAATTTTTGTTAAAAGGTGAAATAAATAAATGTGAAAAATGTAGAAATATAATTTACGGGAAAGGATAGGGGGATAAAAAAGGAATCTAGGAATATGGAAGGTTATTCAATGGAAGAGATAAAACTTACATAGTTAGAGCGAATAATGGCGGTAGCAAGGCTTTGGCGTAAGAAGAGGGATTTCTTAGGCTGATAGGTTTTTTCGCGAATCCGTTTGCCTAATTCTTTGAAAAAACGTTGAGCTTTGCTACCGAAGGTGGTGAGAATGGAGCAGGCGATGGGTATGAATAAGAAATAGTTTATTTTTATTTATGTATAGTTTCATATTTCATCAATGATTTGTGAATTGTGAGCTATAATAACCATTGGCTATCTTTTATTTATTTATCTGTCATGTGATTGGCTTGGTTGAATTTTTTTTAAAATATTTTTTGTCTAATAATATTTTTATTATAGTAAACCATTGGGTTGTAAATTTTACACATTTGTTTCAAAATTTTTTTTGTTGAGAAAATTATCTGGCCATTTTTTGTAAAAAGATAAATAAAAATTATATGGACATGATAAAATTTAAATAAAGGCATGACAAATTGGGTAAAAAATCTTTATGGATTATAAAGATGCCGTGTAGATTTTTAGATACCTTTTTCAATTGTTTTACTTAGATTGTTTACTTTTAGATAAAATAAAAAATGCAAATTTAATTTAAGGGATGCTTATAAATTGAAAATCAAAGAAAAATTAGTAACAAATAAAATAAATGAAATCGATAGTAATGTAAATGATGACCTGCCATACTTGATAGAAATCAAGGAATATTTAAAAGAATCTTTTTATATAGAAAGTATAATAACATATTTTTTATATTAATTTAAATATTGCTTGGTTGGGCTATGATCGACCCATTTGTTTGGGTGATATCTGATTATTTTTCAAAATCAACAAAAGATTGGGTTTGTATGAAACCCACTATTTTATAAATGCTAATTTTATATTTGTGTTCTTTATTTAGACAACTCGAATAACATTGATGATATTGATATTATATCCCCAGTGAATCCACCTGAATATTGGAGAGTTAATGCTGTAAAATATCCAACTTTATCAACACTTGCAAGTAAATTTTTCGCTCCTCCAGCAACAAGTGTCCCGTGAGTTTGCCATCAGTACTTCAGGGGATATTGATAGTCCTCATCGTAGAATCCTATTGCCTGAAAATCTAGAGGCTCTTATAATTATTTTAAAAAATCTAATATATTATAATTTTTTATATTAAATATTACAATTTTATAAACCAATATAAAATGTTTATATTGTTATATTTATTTTATCATAATTTTTTTAAAATTATTGTTGAAATAAAAAAATTAAATTATGCATAATTCTTTTTTGCATAAAAAATATTGATTTCTTAATTACATTTGGTTCAAAGAGGGGTGGTGAAAAATCAATATAAATATCGGATCACTATCGGATCGGTTTTGAACCAATATCGGGTCGGATCGGTGAAAAATATGTGGATCGGCAAAGCCCTAGTACTAACCCTTCATTTCAAACCATAATCGCCACATTAATATATTTCGGTACTCATGCCCTATCCTTTTTTAAAGAGTTACGACAATGAATGTCAGCTAGGACCGAGGATCACAACAAGGATATTATACGTTAAAGAATGTTCTTGAACATTAAAGTAATTATCTTAGCTTTATATTGTCAATCAAAGAGACCCCATAAATGAGAATCCTATTCTTGAGGTAAGTTTTCGACATGGCAGCTGGGTAATAGACATTGACGAAGTCTTAATTTCAAGATAAATGAAAGGAAAAAAGGATACATCTTTCTGCTGATTGTCAACATAATTTCTTTTGACCCATTATACATCAGACGAGCACCAAATATTGAAGATCGCATAAATCAAAATTATACTCTATTATCATAACATTATACACTACTTAAATTACAACTTTATCAAAACTTATAATTTTCATTTTAACCATTATTATAATTACTAGCTATAACCCGTCAAGAATGAAGGGGTTGAAGGGTAATTAGTTAGTTTGTGTATATGGTACTAAATATGCTTTATATTAAAATTTAGGAGAAAAAGCGGTAAAATTGTTGCAATGTAACCCGTGAGCATTAAGGGTATTAGAAATATCAAAATTTAAATTTGTGATAGGAATCATTAGGGAAAAATTAAAAATAGAGATTCTTCAAAATTTTTGAATTTTAAATATATACTAGACATTGGCCTCAAAATTTTGTTTTGCAGACACAGCTAGGCCTGATCAAAAAACCACGTTCCATGCAACTTTCCCAAAATTTTGCCATTTATTTCTATTGTAATTTAATAATAATGCCTTAAATTTAATTTTATATTTAGAATAGAATTTAATTTGTGATAGAAATCATATTGAATAAAATTTAAAATAGAGATGCTTGGAAATTTTAATTTTAAATATGGAGTAGACATTGGCCTAAATTTTTTTTTGCAGACATAGACAGGCCTGATCAAAAAACCAAACCATGCAACTTTCATAAAATTTTGCCATTTATTTCTATTGTAATTTAATAACAATGTCTTAAATTTAATTTTATATTCCATTTATTTCTATTGTAATTTAATAACAATATCTTAAATTTAATTTAATATTTAGAATAAAATTTAAATTTGTGATAGAAATCATATTGAGTAAAATTTAAAATAGATATGCTTGAAAATTTTTTAATTTTAAATATGGACCAGACTTTGGCCTGAAATTTTTTTCCTCAAACCTGGCCAACCCATAATAATTTTGTAATTTTTTTCCAAGCCTGGAGATAGGTAAATCTCTGAAAACCATATTGTTAAGAAAATTTTCTCAAGCCCGCCAAAGACCATAATAATTTTGTTAGTTGAGAACTGAAATAAAATATATAAAAGTTAAAATTCATTTAAAAATAAAATCAGAATATGAAAGTTGCATAAGCTTGGTTTTTTAATCAGGCCTGGAGATTTCTGCAATAAAAAACTTTCAGGCCAATGTCTAGCCCATATTTAAAATTTAAAAATATTTAAGCATTTCTATTTTATATTTTACACAATATGATTTCTATCACAAATCTAAATTTTATTCTAAATATAAAATAAAATTTAAGACATTTTTATTAAATTGCAATAAAAATAAATGACAAAATTTTAAGAAAGTTGCATGGGACTTGGTTTTTTGATCAGGCCTGGCTATGTCTGCAAAAAAAAAATTTCAGGCCAATGTATAAACCACATTTAAAATTCAAAAATCTTAAAGCATCTCTATTTTAAATTTTATCCAATATGATTTCTATCACAAATTTAAATTTTGATATTTTAAATACATGCTCACGGTATACATTGCAACAATTTCACCTCTTTTTCTCCCTAAATTTTAATATTTATATAAAATTTATTATTAAAGTATATTAAGTACCATACACACAAACTAAATAATTACCCTTCAACCGCGTCAGCTAGCATGGTAATAAACGGCAGAATTTTAAAAATATCAACTATTAATTAATATATATAATTAATATTTTAAATTTAATTATATTCATGTTGATGCATGCTTAAAACATACGACTTTGAAACGGGAGGTTTGTGTTCGACTCTCGCAGAGTGTAAAAAAATAACATTACAATATATAGTCTCCTTAAATTTTAAATACATTAGGAAGATACCAAAACGATCATGTTATGATTATGTAGATTATATATATTAGATAACATTAAGATTATTGTAAGATTATTATTTGTGAGCCATAATTACCATTGGCTATCTTTTATTTATTTATCTGTCATAAGATTGATTAAATTTTATTTTTTTAAATATTTTTTGCTAAATGATATTTAATATCGAAAACCATTGGTTAAGTTTTACACATATTTTAGTTTTAAATGAATTTTTTAAATTTTAATATTACTTTTCAAAATAAATTTTTTTAATAGTGAGAATAAATGTTTAAAATATTTATTTGAAAATAATATTTTTCATTGGCGTGAACTCAAAACAAAATATGTTAAATCTGAGAGGTGCCAGCCCAGTTAATGGAAGATTACATAGCAACATATATTTATTTGAAGAGAGAATATATATATTTATTGAATATTTTAAAATTTTTTTAGAAGATATTCAGCATTTTTTAATATAAATATATAGAATATATATTTTGTTATACATTTTTATATTTTAAATTTGTAAAATCAATATTAAATAAAGAGTCAAGTATATAATAGTATTCTCAGATAATATGTCATTAGAAATAAAGTTTATAAGTAATGATATAAGTGCATTGAGAAAGAAACATATTTTAAAAAAATTTTATTTTATCTAAAAGTAAACAATCTAAGTAAAACAATTGAAAAAGGTATCTAAAAATCTACACGGCAGATTTTTTTACCCAATTTGCCATGCCTTTATTTAAATTTTATCATGTCCATATAATTTTATTTATCTTTTTACAAAAAATGGCCAGATAATTTTCTCAACAAAAAGAATTTTGAAACAAATGTGTAAAATTTACAACCCAATGGTTTACGATAATAAAAATATTAATCGACAAAAAATATTTAAAAAATAAATTCAACCAAGCCATTCATGACAGACAACAAGTGTCCCATCTGACAGGGGATATTGATAGTCCACATCGTAGAAGCCTATTGCCTGAAAATCTAGAGGCTCTTATATTTATTAAAAATAATCTAATATATTATAATTTTATATATTAAATATTACATCCCATCTGAGTCTGCCTTCAGTACGGCAGGGGATATTGATAGTCCTCATCGTAGAAGCCTATTGCCTGAAAATCTAGAGGCTCTTATATTTATTAAAAATAATCTAATATATTATAATTTTATATATTAAATATTACAATTTTATTAACCAACATAAAATGGATATATTATTATATTTATTTTATCTATTATAATATAATTTTTTTAAAATTATTGTTGAAATAAAAAAATTAAATTAAATGCATAATTTATTTGTATAAAAAATATTGATTTCTTAATTATATTTGGTTCATAGAGGGGTGGTGAAAAATCAATATCAGATCGGTATCAGATAGGTTTTGAACCAATATCGGAAAATATTGGATCAGATCGGTGAAAAATATGTGGATCGGCACACCCCTAGATTTTACCCGACATAATATTATGTAAGTCTCGAGATTTGGCAAATAGATGCCATGTATGATCAAATATTCAGGCTCACATAACTATATTTTTATAAAATCTTAATCGGGCCTTTTTTAATAATCTAACACAACATAGGAGATACCTAATGCTTATATTGCTTGTATTAGCCTTCTCTATGTGAAATCCAAAATATATTTTGAAGCTTGGCTAAAGTATTTTAAACACCACCCCCCCCCCCTCCACTCAAAATATATTCAATATATTACACTATAAACAAAAATTTAAAAAAAAAATAAGTAAATTTTTTTTAATAACGACTATAATTCAAAATTTTTATAAAAACATTGAAAAACCAAAATTATTTTAATAATAATATAACATAGCCATAGGCCTACAAATGTGTACCTACCAATAAAATAATTTAAGAGGCAAAACCCACATAATAGTGCCTTCCCCCTAGCAAAATCTAATACGACTAAGATTCTGTATCTGTCTGATTCATTTATCATTATTAACCATATAAAAAAGGCCCGCATACAGAATCAGATATTTAATCAAAATTTTAAATTAATAAGTTTAATTTAAAATTAATTTATTATATTATAACATATTAAAAATAAAATTAATTATTTGAATATAATATATGAGTATTTTAAAAAGTAACTAATTATTTTTAGCAGTTACATTCTAAAAATATTACTAGCTACAATTTTTCAAATGTAATTTGTTATAGTTATTTTTGCAAAAATATAACCATTATTTTAACAAAACTAATTATATATTTTATCAATATTATTTTAGGAATCTATCGAGTTTTGAAATTCTTACACCCATTTTATCATGTAGAAATCCATCTGTTCATTCAAAATCAATATTACCAAGCCACGTTTTTTATGAATCGGTAAATACTCTTTTTTTAAAATCTAAAAAAATTTTTTATGAGCAAATTAATGTTAATCTTAGTTTATATTTTCAGGACACCCCAAAATCAGAGTTCTTAAAGTAGTGCGCTACTTTTATAAAATACATTTTTAAGAATAGCGAAGTAAGTCTTAAAAATAGGATTTGTATAATAATTAATTTTTAAATTTATATTATAAATCTAATCTAGCTACCGATATCGAAAATATTTAGTTTTTATATTGTAAACACAGATAGTAAAATAATATTGATAAATACGAATGTACCGATTTTTTATGATGGTAAAATGGGTTCTACCTCATATTATTTCACTAACGAATCATATAAAAATTCAAATGAATAAAGCAATAAATCCTTCAAAAAATTATTTAATTTTTAATTGGATGTATGATGACCATCATTAAATATTTTTTATTTTTTTAAATTTAAATGCCCGGGTTTTTAAAATTTTACGAATATTTAGTTTTGGGAGGCCCTGTCTGATTATTTTATGTACGAATTTCTTCGCCCGACCTGTTATAAATTTTTTTCGGCGTAATTTTAAAAACTTGCCTGGGCTTAAGGATGGTGACTTTGCAGATTTTAGGCTATAGTAAAGCTTAGTTTACATTTAATAATCATATTTTTCCAAAAAAGTATTTCAGTGCGTATCTTATAAATAACAGATAATTTCATCATAACTTTTTATTTATATACTGCTGGCAATACATAAATTGAATAAGTTTTATTGTCAAATGTGAATTGACTGATTATGTGATTTGACTGTAACATATATGCAAAAGCTTAACTATCACAACTTCTTTTTATGATTAAAAATTATGCTTGTAGTCAGCGTAAACATGGGTAAAAATTTATATAAAATCGCTTCAAATACATTAGGAGCCATTTTTAAATTTTAACCAATAAAATTCCCTACTAATCACAAAAATAAAAAGTTAGTAACGCGCTACTTAAGTAAAAATAGAATTTGACGAATAAGTTTTACAACACTATCTTACCGGCAGGCACACCGATAGTCCAGATTGGTACATCTCTGATTTCAACTTATCCCCTTTACATTTTTTAGAATATCAGTTTTAATTTTTAAGTAGGGGAGACCAGGGCTAGTCGGCGCAAGGGGCTTGTCGGTTCAAAGGATTTTATTTTAAAACCAGTAACGATTAAGAATTGAAATTTTTTTATAAAGTAGAATTCTATAATATCCATATTTGGGGATGAAAATGATTTATAATATTTTAAATTTTTATCTTTTATGACATGTTTTGACTTAAAAATTACAATATTTTCACTTAATATTATTAGGTTGTATTTAAAAATTAAAAGTTTAAACATGACAAAATGGACATTATATGAAAGTTAAATATCTATTTTAATATTTGGGAAAGTTTCAGATTGATATCTAATGCTTAAATATATGTTAAGATCATATTAGTAATATTACCACCATTGAGCTTAGTTGAATCATTGCTTGTCGGGGCAATCAATAATTAATTTTTATAATATAATGGTACGTAAATATATCCGCAAAATTCAAAACAGAAATTTTTTTACTAAAGAGGACTATGAAGAAGCCATAAAACTGTATGGAAATGGTATCTCATCAAGAAAAGTTTCATCTAATACAGGTTAAAATATAATATTTTGTAAATGTAATATATAAAATGATAATTAATATATAAATTTATTAATGTAATTTTTCGACCTAAATAAATATCTTGCTAACTAAAATCTTCATTTATATATGAATTGTGATAATATAATATATATTATCATAGATATATTGTATATATAAATTTAAGCCTGATAATATGATTGATTATTTGCAAACAAATATTTTTATATATCTATTATAATTAACATATAATATGATTCAAATTATCACATTTTATTAAATATGAACATCTTACTATACAAATTTTAGCCTGTTAATAAGGTCAATGATTTAAAATGAATTATATCTAGCAAACAAATATTTTTATATATCTATTATAAATAACATATAATATGATTCAAATTATCACATTTTATTAAATATGAACATCTTACTATACAAATTTTAGCCTGTTAATAAGGTCAATGATTTAAAATGAATTATATCTAGCAAACAAATATTTTTATATATCTATTATAATTAACATATAATATGATTCAAATTATCACATTTTATTAAATATGAACATTTTACTTTACAAATTTTAGCCTGTTAATAAAGTCAATGATTTAAAATGAATTATATCTAGCAAACAAATATTTTTATATATCTATTATAATTAACATATAATATGATTCTAATTATCACATTTTATTAAATATGAACATTTTACTATACAAATTTTAGCCTGTTAATAAGGTCAATGATTTAAAATGAATTATATCTAGCAAACAAATATTTATATATATATATATCTATTATAATTGACAATATAATATGATTCAAATACATTTTATTGGATATGAACATTTTAGTTATCAGGATATGATTTTGGCCTGATAATAAGATCAAATGATGTTATATTTAAATATAGAATTAAATATATTTTGAATAAATTTATTATTTATTTTATTAGGTATACCTACAACAAATTTTTTGAGATATTATAAAAAATATAAAATGGCTGGCACTATGCCCAAGATAGGCCAAGATAATAAACAAAAAATTTTTGATATTGATGAAGAAAATAAAATTGTTGAATATCTTATTTCATGTAGTAAAACGTTTTATGGTTTATCTGTTAAAAAGGTATTTAAAAAAATTTAATATTATATTTATATATTATTAGATAAAGATTCAAGCATATTATCATGCTATTCAATTAAACAAAAAAATACCCAAATCATGGACAATTAATAAAATGGCCGGTGAAGAATGGTTTTCTTCATTTATGAGAAGAAATCCAAGATTATCTCTAAGATCGCCTGAGGCCACTAGTTTAGTTCGAGATGTTGGTTTTAATCAAGAGGCTGTTCAATATTTTTTTAATCTATATAAAGGAATACTGGATCAACATGAATTAAGACCTATGTCAATTTATAATATAGACGAAACAGGCCTGACAACTGTGCAAAACCCATCAAAAATTGTTGCGCAGAAGGGTCAGAAACAAGTTGGAGCCATCACTTCTGCAGAGCGAGGCACTTTATTAACAATGGCGCTGGCTGTTAACGCTTTAGGGAATTATATTCCCCCCATGTTTATTTTTCCACGTAAAAAATTTTATAATCATTTTATAAGAGACGGTCCTCAGGGATGTATTGGTGCCAACGGATCTGGATGGATGCAAGAAGATGAATTTCTTACTTTTTTATATCACATTGTTTATAATACCAGATGTAGCCAGAAATTTAAAATTTTGGATAATCACATATCCCATCAATCATATCAAGCTATTCAATATTGTATAGATAATGGTATTATATTTATGATATTCCCTCTATTATAAAGGATATTTTACCTTTGGCAGCCTCCTCTAAAAATATTCAAAAAGGATTTGAATCGTGTGGAATATACCCTTATAATGTATTTTTCGAGAGGAGGATTTTATTCCTTCATCAGACCACGATAGATCGTTTATATTCAGAGAAAGTCCTGGATATTCTCTTCCAAATTCTTCAATTATGTCTATTCCTAGCTCATCTGTTAATTCTCTTCCCAACACTTTTCCTTATATTCTTAGCCCCTCATTTAGTACTAACACCTATATTAATAATATTCCTATCCCTTCAAAGATTAATCTCCCAGGTCCATCATTTATCCAGGCAATCTCATCTCGTAAAGGAACAAGGAAAAAAAAGGCTGAGATCTTTTCCTCATCCCCTTTCAAGAGGGAAATTCTATTAAAAGAGAAGAACAAAAAATCAAAAAAAAACATTGTTAAAAAATTAATAAAAGATGTATGTATTATATGTAAATATATATGATTATTTTCCAATATATATTAATACTATAAATTATTTTAGTCGAATAATCTCGAATAATAGATAAAAAATTATTCGACGAATAATATATTTTCCTTATTCGAATTCGATTCGAATTTTCGAATCGAATAATTGTGTTATTCGTATTCGTAAAATACGAATCGAATATCGAATAACAAATAATTCGTTTTAGGTATAGTAGTATGTAAAAAATAAATAAAAAAACATTCTAAATTAGAAAAAAATTTTTTAATTCAAATTTAATAAATAAAAAATAGTAAAAAAATAAAAGAAAAGATGGAGGATAAATTTAAATTTTAATTTTGGTAAAGTAAAAATAAAAGAAAAATAAAAATGGAGGATAAAATTAAATAAAGTAAGAAAAAAAATGGAGGAGAAAAAATATAATAATTAGAGATAAAAGTAGAGGTGGGTGCGGGCCTACGGTGGTAATAAAAAAATATCACACCCATTCACGCTTAACACAAAAATTTCGACCCGCCCGCTCACGACAAGCAATATTTTGATTCACGCCCGAAAATTCACGGTGTTTTTAAATTTTTCAAAACTATTGCTATAATTTTACACTTTTTTAAATTCCTTCTATTTATTTCTCTAATTTCATAATCCATATTAATAACAAAAAATAAATACAATCTATAAATCGAAATTAATTTGGAAAAAGAAGAATGTCCATCTTTTTTTATTTTTGTGTACGCCTTTCCTCTAGTAAGAGATTGGCTACAGAAAATAACCTTTCACTAGAAGCCGAACTTGCAGCTGACAAAATTTTACTCGATAATTTTCTCAAAAAAGGAAATGAATATTCCTGCTTCCAAAACTTCAAAATATTGTCTTGTTATTTATCTTATATGAATCTCTTAAGTTCATCCTCCAGCTTTCATCGGTGATGTTGATGCTTCATCAGAATCATCTAGAAATATACAGTCTTTTATGAGTGTAGGATGAATTAGGAAAGTGATAGTTGGTATTGATCATTTAGAATATACGGTTTTTTATGAGTTTGGATAAGTTAGGAAAGTTATAAATGGTAGTTGGCATCGACTTATGCATATCATCTAATTTTATATCATTTAGCATTTTTAAGATTGTTTTATATATATCATTTTCTTCTTTTATTAAAAACAAGTCTTTTGAAATTCGGTAGAATTAAGCCTACTATAGTGGCTGCATAATAATCTTTTAAATGAAATCTTGTTCTGTATTTTAAGGTTTTGATTATTATTGTATCACGTTCAGAAGGTTAACAAAATTTTATTAATTTTTGTTTCCATAGACAAACTTCATTTATTGTGGGACGAGAATCTGCTCTCAGATTATCCGAGCATTCTTTAAATATTGATAAAAATTTATCTAACTCGCGTATGATGCTGATATCAATTGTGGCTAATCTATTTAATTCTTGCTTGCTAAACAAGTACACCTGTTTTTCAGAATATGATTTTAAGAAACTCTGTATCATGATATATACAGAGTTCCATATCGTTATTCTCGCTATTACATATTGTTTAAGGGTGTGGTTTAGTTTGCTATTAGCTGTGTTTGAAATATTGTACTATCTTTTTTATACCATTTATATTTAAGGCCATTTTAGTTAAACAATTGTCAAAAATATAATGCATAATATTATTTAGTATATGGCATATACATGCTAGCGTTTAGTCATCTTTGAATGCATTTATAATATTTGCTCCGTTATCACTCACAACTATACATTTATTTAAGTAATTTTCTACTTCTGTATATTCTCCTTAAATTGAATTGACTATACTTTTAATTTTGACGCTTTTTTCATCCATTTCCCTTGTGGCCAAAACAAATGTTTTTAATTAAAATCCTCAATGATAATATGTCCTATAATGGTTAAAAAACTTATTTTTATAGCCATCCGTCCATCAGTGATTATCGACAAGTAATTATTATTGATCATGCTTTTAATCTTAATTTTATTTCATGGTATATTTTTGGATTTATAGTATTCATGAGATTTTTCTAGCTCACAACTTTTTTATTTTGTTATCCAGTAACACCAACATTTATCTCTTGGCCTAGCTTGTAAAATTATTCACTTTCTGTTGCATTTAAAGATTGAAGATCTTTACAAATAAAATAAATCTGACTTTTCTGTAAAAAGTTTAAGCAAAATTTAGCATAAAGTCTCGCTATAAAAAACACCTAAACATAAAAAGAAAATAGAACTAACAAAATGATACCGGATGTTGTTTATAAAATGCGGAAGATTTTTAGTTTTTATAAATTATTCTTTTTTTAAAAAAAACTAAATTAAATAAGAAAATATATAATATTATTATAAAATTGCAAATTTATATTTATAAAAAACAATTTTAAAAATTAAAATTTCCGTGATTCACCGGAAATTTATGTTCACGCCTGATCACGCCCGCGGAAAATTTTGAGAAGGCCCGTCACGCCTTGGAATTTAAAATTTGTTCACACTCACACCGTGACACGATGGGTCACGCCTAATTTCACGGCCCGCGCCCACCTCTAGATAAAAGGTTATTAAAAAATAATATGTAATTTAATTTGGAAGAAGGTAAAATAAAGAGAGTAGTAAAATTTAAAATAAATATATGTATATAATTATTTTTCTTATTTGGATCCATGATCATAATGAATTTGTAGAATTTACATCATAGTGAAAATTATTTGGTTTAATATAAATTTATAATTTAACTTGTGTCAAAAATTTCCATTGTATCATATTTCCATTTAATCACATTTGTTTATAATTTAATTTATATCTAATGTAGTCATTTCTGTTTATATGATGTCCAAGTCTCAAATAAGCTTTTAATGTTTGATTGTTCATTGTTTGAGTTTATATTTAGATGGTCCATGTCTTTTTTTTGGTTTATCCATACAATTATTGGCTAGGATAAACGCACTTTTTTTCATTCTTTTTTTTGAATTTTTACCAATCAAAACCAAATAATCAGCTATGAAGCATCGCACACTTATATTAAGAATTGACTTTCACTAGAATAATTCAAATTAAAAATCATATGTTAAATTTATGATTTTTTACTCCACAGAAAAAATAAATAATATAAAATTTTTAAATTTAAAGTCATATATATCAATCAAAAAATAGAAATAATTATATTTTTTTCAGTTATATTTATTAACCTGACATAAATAAACATAATTAGTAACAAAAAAAATTGGATTTTAAAAAAAAATTACGTGATTACATAGGTGGGGTATATTTTACCCGGTATCCCGTCTTTACAGAGAATCTTTTATAGAGAATGCAAATATAGAGAAACTTTTATAGAGGAAACAATTGTAGAGAATGTCGTTTATAAAGAATATCGTTTATAGAGAATGATTTTATAGAGAATTTATTTTATAGAGAAACTTTTAAAGAGAAAACAATTATAGAGAATGTCGTTTATAGAGAATCTCATTTATAGAGAATGATTTTATAGAGAATATCGTTTATAGAGAATGATTTTATAGAGAATTTATTTTATAGAGAAACTTTTAAAGAGAAAACAATTATAGAGAATGTCGTTTATAGAGAATCTCATTTATAGAGAATGATTTTGTAGAGAATTTCGTTTATAGAGAATGATTTTATAGAGAATTTATTTTATAGAGAAACTTTTAAAGAGAAAACAATTATATAGAATGTCGTTTATAGAGAATGATTTTATAGAGAATATTTTACAGAGAATTGTTTTACAGAGAATTATTTTATAGAGAATATTTTACAGAGAATTGTTTTAGAGAGAATTATTTTATAGAGAAGGATTTTATAGAGAATAATTTTATAGAATTTTATAGAAAATGAATTAAGTATTATTTTAGAAATAAATTTTCTCAAAAAAAGCCAGATGCCGTCATATAAATTCTCGGAACCCTTGAATAGAAAAAGGGAAAAAATAATCATAAAAAAATTTATTCACGTTCCTGATTTGTATTGCTTATGAATAATTATGATAATATTTTTGAGTTTCCTCTTGTTATTTTTTTTAAAATACGCTGAACAATTAGAAGTAGTAATACTAAAATTATGAAAATGTTTCCTTCTTTATCAGTTTCTAATAGTGCTTTTCTTTAACTAGTAGAGTAGTCATTTAAAAAAAACTATTAGCAACAAAGCCAGCCTTACGCCAATTGTTTTAGAAAATTTTGTCAATATTTAGTTGCTTTGTGCATTATTTTAATCTGCTTGGCCCGGCCCCGATTTTTAAAAAATATATTATCTATTTTTAATTTGCCTAGATAATAATGGTGTTAAAATATTTGGTTTTAAAATATATGGCCCGGCTCGAATTTTTTAAAAAAAGCTTTTTTTGACCCGGCCCGTATATTTAAAAAAATTAAAATACGTCCCGGGTTTAAGGTCGGGCCTGTAGGTCTCTGATTTATAGTGCGCTTTTATAATTTCCATAATAACTGATTTTACCAATTCC